GTGGCGACTGGGGGAGGGGAGGGGGGCTCTTTATATAACTTGATATTTTTAAGAAAAAAATTTTGCAATAAAACTCCCAAAACAAAACACAACGCCTCTGCAGAGGAGAGTGCTAGGAAATAGTCGCAAGGCTTGGAAAGGCTAGCATTTTATCGGATTGTTTGCATGAAATCTATCGCTATTATGAAATACTCGGTGAAGAACAATATGAATTACACACAAGATGGCTGTGGAGGAGGCTATGGAAGGACATAATCTCATTATCAAGTAAATCAACTGCAATTCTGACAGCAATCATGAGCAATTCTGCTTCGCACTTCAGGGGCAGAAATGGCTTTACTGGGGGGGGAATTCTTTCCCTGGGGGGGCAATTTCCCCCCCTCCCCCCCGGATATATAGTTAAAAAAAGCAGTGATATAAACTCATCGTCTTGGCTGGGTTGGCACATAACAAACAAATAAACTATAAAGTACATTTTGACTCTTTGTATAAATAAGGTATTATTGATGAATAGATCGGGTGGGCTATTATTAAAACTGCCCGTAAATTCATGAAATCATATTGTTTCAATACCTCAGAGCTCTTAAGTACATCTTGTCTCTTTGTATTAAGACATTATTTTAAAATGTACTAAACGAGCATGCGGACAATGGGATATTTCGGGCTGTACGGAAGCGCCGATAAATATTAAAAGCATATTAATATTGGCTTGCCTCCAGAATAAACGTCAAACAGTTCATCGCCTTAATGGATATTGGCACAAAGAAATAAAGCCATACTAACCTGGTTTCTTTGGGAAGTATTCGTATATTTTGTATTCTCAGATCCAGAGTAAAAAGCTTGCAAATTATGTGCACGCAATTCAATATTTTTCTCGCACTCCCTCCGCCGCCCCCCCCCGGAATTACGACATCTGGACAGACACAAGATCTCGATCTCGCCAATACATAGATCGGCGCGAAAGACTGGGTCGAGTGAGCGAGAAACCTTCATGTCAAGATTAGGGGTGCTGCCTTCGGCAGCAACTACAGTAAATAGCGCACATTATATATCAAGCACAGTTATTACTCGCAGCAACTAATGAGCTGTGAGCTTAAGGCCTAAAGCCAGTAAGGAATCGATTCTTACCATGAGTGGAACTAAGAAAAAGCAATATATTATATATTAAAGTAGCCAAGACCAAGGGTTAAAGGGCAATCACAGGTGAAAGATATTATACATGTGCGTCTCATTGACATACAGGTAAATTAATTATAAATAATAATAATATATTTATTCCATTACACCATTACTGGTACTATACAATTACTTTATGGTTTCCGTGTTTGGATGGCCTGATCCAAACACGCGGGAATGTTGCGAGAGTTAAGAAAAGCGAGCGAAATCACGAGCCGAAGGCGAGTGATTTTGCCCGCTTTTCTTAACTCGAGCAACATTCCCAAGTGTTTGGATCAGTCCATCCAAACACGGAAACCATAAAGTAATTGTTTTATAAAATAACAACAACACGGTAGTCTTCCGTGTTTGGATGGCCTGATCCAAACACGGCTTTCGACCAATCAGAATACGCGTTATATACATGTTATTTTATAAATAGGATATATTACAATATAACAGATACATGCATATACATATACAAACAATAAAACTATAACTAATCCTTAATTACAAACAGTACAGTCAGAGAAAATCTTAGTTAACTCGTAAATGTATCTGGCTGTACAATTTGTTAAACTCTTGTCATTCATGGATATACAATAAAGAAACAGGTCGTTTTTACCTGGTGAACTAAAACAACTATTAATTTCCAGTATCTCTTTCAGGAAATTTTCTTTGAGATTTTTTAATTTGTAATTTTTACAATTTAAAAAATAATGTATTCGTCACCTATATCATTTGAATCACAAATTGGACATACGCGTAACTTATAGTCAAATTAGTATATCGACCGACTTCAACTGGAAATCTATGTGTCCTAAACATTGTAACCACTTGGCGGTGTTTTACATTCCCGACCGAAGACAAATAACTTTCAACATGCCAACTTGGTTTTACAAGGTTTAAGATTCGTAATTTGTTGCACTGTTGAATCTGATCTTTCCATATGGTATTATATCTATTACATAATTCATCCTTAACAGCTTTAGCTAATTAAAATTACTAAGATTACTTTTAGACTGAATTTCATAACTGCTCAAAGGTTCGAAATCACACATATGTAGTAAGAAATCAGAGAATTTCACACCCTGATACCTTGACTGAATGCACACCTGTACTGCCTTACCTACTACAGGGTTCGTACACCTTCTCCCATTTAAAATTCCATGACTTTTCCATGACTTTCCATGACCATTTTTTTCAAAATCCATGACCTGGAAGTCTGGAATTTCTGAAATTCGTTAATATTTTAACGATAACAGATATAATAAAAGAACAAAATTCACTTCGCTCTTGCAAAAATCCGTTATATAACAACAATTTATATTATTGTTATGACTGGTAAATTGAAATAAGTAAAATACTTTGTTAAATTAATGTTATATAAAATTTCAATTTTCCATGACTTTCCATGATTAAAATTGATTTTCCAGGATTTCCAGGACCCGTACGAACCCTGCTACTAATTGCTTTTTGTAATTTGGACTATTTATTCTTAACCAGTATTTGATAACTAAAGTTGAAATTTGTACAGACATTGGTAATCTGCCTAGTTCAGCTAGCACTGCTAGATTGGTAGATTTGAGATGGACCCCTAAAATACGTTTACAAAATTTTAAATGTAGCTTATCAATATCTGAAATCACGTTGAAAATTTTGTTGTTGAACATATCAGTCGTTGTCAAACTGCCTAAGAAATATACTCCCTATATCTCACAGCAATATAACAGAATCCAAGAGTTGAGAATAATTTTAACAGCACCTTAACCGGAACCCTATCCACATTGGAAAAGTTTTTAAAAATACTGTGGTAAGCCTGCAGTGCCTTATTATGCAATCTCTTACGTGCAAGTTTAAAACCACCAGCATAATGAAATGTAATTCCTATAGGTAAGGATATTCATCAACACATTCTATCAGATCTCCACCAAAATACCAATTCGTCGTAATATACGGCCGCTTTTGAGATTTACTTCCAAAGATTAGAACTTTAGACTTTTTTAAATTAATTTTCAATTTCCATCTTTTAACATAACACCTCAACTTAGCAAGACTCTCCTGTAGACCAGATTCAGACTGTGATAGACTGAAGTACTAAGTCATCGGCATAAAGTAAACAATTTACTTTCGTTTCTCCCAGATACATGCACCGGATCACAATCTTTGGAGATAAACAATTCAGGAATATCATTTATGAAAACATTGAACAAAGTTGGACTAAGATTGCACCCCTGTTTAAGTCCAATGTTAGATGCAAAGGAAGGAGTAACTCCTGCATTAAGTTTGACTGCAGCCCTAACACAAGAATACATGCTAAGTAAAACACGAATAAAATTTCTGCTACAACCGTATTGAATGAGTTTATAGAATAAACCTTCTCTCCATACACTATCATAAGCCTTCCGAAAGTCTATGAAGCATGCAAATAGCGGCCTTTTATGACTCTTGTATAAATCAATTAATGTTTTTAGTACAAGTATGTGATCAGACGTTCTGAACCCATATGAACCCAATTTGACATTTATTTAAAATCTTGTTTCCCTCCAAAAAAGTGTTAAAACGGGAATTCAAAATTAAAGTAAAGAATTTACCTAGGCAACTGCTTATACATATTCCTCTGTAATTTCCAGGATCTAAACGGCTCCCTGCTTTATAAATGGGTACTATATAACCTTCGGACCAGATATCCAAGGAAACACCCCACTTGATAGAATTAAGTTAAATAGCTTTACCAAATATGGAGCAAAAACCTCCACAGCAATCTTAATTATTTCATTATTGAATCCCTAGCACTGGCCTTTTTGCCTTTAAGTTTTTTAGCTGATGAACGAATTTCTTCTACTGAAATTGGTGCATCCAATATCTCATTTGAGTTACCAGTCCAAAGCTGATAATTTTTGACAAATTTAGCCTCGTTGCTACATTGTGTAAAATCTACCTTAATTTCATTTAAATCTTTGAAATAGTTATGTTACCTCGTTCCCACAGGTCCACAGGTTCTTTTGTGCCAGGAGAATAATTACACCATAACAGAGAATCCCAAGACTTTACTTTATTGTTCCGTGTATAGACACTACATTCTCCAACTAAATCTGACTTCGTATATCACTTACATTGATTCACAACTGTTGTGCTTCGCTATTATATCTCAAAAGTCTCATGCAATAATATCAATGTTTCTTTGTTATGTTTACGCGGTAATACGATACTAATATAAATAATAACACATCTGGAATGCATTACACATTCCCCCTCTACAAAAAGTGTCGTCCCGTGACACTGCAGTACCTGGTACTGATGTAAAGATTACTCTTTAGAACAGAAAACTATCATGCAAATTACGATTACATAGGATCATATCTACGAACATACATTGTTTCTTCATAACTCATTAATTAATACGCTGCAGCTTGTATTAACCAAACAAACTCTTGATAACTAACTTTTATCAGTTAAAGTTAAAGTTCTGGATAATATAATTTTTTTAAAAGTAATTTTGAAAAGAATGATTAAATATTCTTCAGTAAAAGTTTTGACATGGAGCCACGCTGTGTCCATGTAACAGTGGATGGTAGTTATTTAACGTGAATGGTGGGAGGGGAAAGGGGGGTGTACCACTGGGTAAAAGGTAGGGAAAAGGAGGTGGATAGAATGGGCCAGGTGTGTTAAGGGAGAGGAAGGGTGGGTTTACGGGACCAGATAATTGCGGTGGTTGCCATACATCTGTTGGAGTTGCCGTGGTGACATTATATAACCGAGTTACATCGGTTTCGCCAGGTTGAAAATAAGTCAGACGATCTGGTGGTTGCCGGGTTCGTCATGGTCTGTGATTTTCGGGGGGATTAATTCCTCAGCATCATGTAGGTTCGGGTTGACAACATCTTGTGACCAGGGTCATGAACTGGGGGCGCGTTTGGAGTTTCGATCGTAAAATCTTCCTGCAGTTGTACATACTCTTCGGGAATCTCGTTCTGCAGTACCAGATCGTTGGCAGTCGGAGGTTGAATCGCTGGTGGGCACAATGGTGGTTGAGGAGGATAATCGGAGGTCGTGGTTGGTAAAACTACCAAATCGTCGATCTCTTCGTCACTGGAAGACTCGTTACTTTCGCACATTGCAGTGGGTTCTGGCCTTTGTCCTCGTCGTTTGCGAGAAGGGGCTGTAGGTAGTCGCATGGGAGGAGATTTCGGTGGAGAACCCTAGTCTTTCCGCTGTTGCTTTCACATTGGACTTCATAAACAGGACTGTCCGATCCTTTCCGTTTAATCACGACATGTACCTCTCTCTCCCAGAAGGACCTAAGTTTACCTGGGCCACCACGTTCACTTAGGTTTCGTACCAACACTCTATCTCCGGGTTGGAGGACCGTGCTACGCATCCAGCGATCGTACGATTTCTTTGCCTTCAATCCTTTATCCCGAATCTTCTTGCTAGCAAGCTCGTGGGCTTCTTTCATGGACGTTTTCCATTTCTCAACGTACGTATTTCGAGTGTTCCTGTTCGTTGGTCTTCGTCCTGCTGTTAAATATCAGGTCTAGTGGTAGTCGCGGTTTCCGTCCGGAAAGCAGGAAAAATGGTGAATAACCCGTCATGTCGTTTTTGGTGCAGTTGTAAGCATGTACGACTTTGTTGACATGGTCCTTCCAGTGTGATTTCGCATTTTCGGAAAGGGTGCGGAGCATGTCTAGCAATGTTCGCTTGAAGCGCTCTACTTGGCCATTCCCCTGGCCGAGTGGTATGGAGTGGTACGCGAGTGACCAACGCCGCAGAGTTGCTCGAGTCTTCCAAGGAGCCGTTTCTCAAACTCCCCCCCTTGGTCGTGGAGTATTTTGGAGGGAAACCCGAAACGAGGGATGTACTCGTTATAAAGTTTTTCAGCACAGTTTGCGCCGTTTTGTTGCGGGTTGGGTAAGCTTGTGAAAAGCGTGTAAAATGATCTACAATCACTAGAATATATTCATAGCCGCCGCTTGACCGTTCGAGATGCAGGAAATCAACAGATACTAACTCAAAGGGTGAAGACGTAATGATTGGTTGGAGTGGGGCCTTCGTTTTCAGTCGTGTGGGTTTCTGTTTAAGGCACTGGCATACGTGCTTTACGTAGTGCTCGACGTCGCGCTGCATTTTGGGCCAGTAAAATCGGTCTCTAGCTAGGTGAAGAACGCGTTCTGACCCTAGATGGCCCATATTATCGTGGAGCTCTTTCAAGACCATGTGGTGATACTTTCTCGGAAGTACAATCTGCTCGCATAAGCCACTTTTCCTCCGTAACACCCCGTCTTTGTCGAGAAATAACTTGCGCCATTCATACGAGAGTAGTCGCACCCCGGGAGACTCCTGTGCGAGTTGGTTGGCCGTCGGTCTTTTGCCAATTTTCACAAACGTACATACTTTGTTAATCACCTCGTCCGTTGTTTGGGCCCGTCGAATGTCCTTTAAGTCAACAGTTGTTCGGTTGTCTGACGGGAGCTTCGGTTCACTTTCGTCTGCTACACTGGGATCATTAGTCAGCGAGGATATCCAATTAATGTGACCCTCATCCTGTAGTTGCACCGACTTGATAATCGTCCGTAGCTCGTCCTGACTAGTTTCTTTATTACATGATGCTATGTACTGCTCCATTTGCTCAGGCATGCGAGACAACGTGTCTGCGTCCGCGTTAGCTTTTCCAGGCCGGTAGCGGATCGGGAAATTAAAATCTGCCAACTCCCTTATCCAGCGTAAACCAGTGGCATTTAACTTTGCGGAAGAGAGAACATATGTTAGTGGATTATTATCTGTAAACACTTCAAAGGGTGGAGAGTAATAGAGATAATCTCGGAAGTGGTCAGAAATGGCTCACTTCAAAGCTAAGAATTCCAGCTTGCCAGAGTGTAGTTGATAGTTCTCTTCTGCCGGCGTGAGAGTGCGAGAACCATACGCGATTACGCGGAGAACACATCAGTGTGGAGTATGTACGGGCGTGTAGTTTCGGACACATCAGTGTGGAGTATGTACGGGCGTGTAGCATCTGGGTACGCCATCACTGGGGCACGGGTTAGATGAGAAAGGAGTTGCTCGAAAGCGGCCTGATGGGTTTGTGTCCATGACACTTTCTGGCTTGCATTCTTCTTGTGTTTGGCGGAAACACCGTTAGTACCACCCTCAGACGTTTTCACGAGATCGTAGATAGGCTTTGCCATAGCGGAAAAGTTTGCGATGTAGCTTCTGTAATAATTTAGAAATCCCATTAGTTTGCGAACCTCGTTTACCGTCTTAGGTGGAGTTCTTGCATGCAGAAAATGGGAGCAATGGTGAAAGGGTCGAGTTTGTAGCCGTCTTTGGAGACGATTTTCCCGAGAAACACGACTTCTCTCTTAAAGATCGTACATTTCTTTGGCTTTAATTTAACTCCGTTTTCTTTGAGCCGCTCGAGAACAAGTCGCAGGTGTCTGACATGATCATCAAACGACGCACTGAAGACGATGATATCGTCCAAATATATAGGGAACACAGATTTCATCTCGTAAATCAGCTAAGGTTGTTTCCATAAAGCGTTGGAAGGTAGCAGGTGCGTTTGATAATCCAAACGGGATTCTGATCCATTCGTAAAGTCCCCAAGGCGTTTTAAAAGCGGTGAGTGGTTGGCTTTCAGGCTGTAAGAATCCTTGATGGTACGTACGCCTTGCCTTGGTCGAGAACTGAAAACCAGGAATTGCCACCCAAATTATCTAGAGTCTCTTGAATGCGCGGGATTGGGTGACGATCTACCCCTGATTTTCGGTTGAGCTCGCGATAGTCGACGCACAATCGTAGACTTTGATCCTTTTTTCGAACGCACACTACAGGGGAACTGCACAACGAATTTGATCTCCGAATGAACTTCCTGTTTAACATATCTTCGATATAAGCTTTCACTTCGGGATACAATGGTCGAGGGACAGCAACATAGTTCTTTTGAACTGGGGTTTTGTCGTTCAGGTGGATGTTCATTTGAAGGTTTGGTATACTTCCTACGTCATCATCACTCTGGGCGAAAGCGTCAGCTTGCTCGATGAGTAGTTGTTCAGCAACTTTCTTTTGTTCATTGGTGAGTTGACTTAGGTCGATTTCTTTAATTTAAGGTGAGCAGGCAGATGGTTGGATGTGCTACCTCGAATTTTGTCCTCTGAGACGTCATCAGTTGATTTCGTACTTGGAGGTATTCGGGACTTTGGGTCAGCGGTTTTCAGTGTCACTTCTACAGGGGTAACTGACTGAACTAATTGCAAGCGACCGAGAACTGTCCGACTTTTTAGACTTATATCATGTTTTGTAGTGTTCCTTATTTCTACTTCGATCTTGCTCGCCTTACCCGCTTTAACTGTTAATAAATTATCGGAAACTTGTAGGCCTCCTGGCCAGTGACTATTCTCATCTGCTTCAAATAGGACTGGTGTCAGTTAGCTCAGGGGCAGTGCTCTCACAATCAATTTTTCGAATTCCTTAGAAAAAGCTCGAAAATTCCTCAGATTTCCTTAAAATTCCTTAAATTGGTAAAATTACTACAAGGCCTGATCACAGAGTTGCAAAAAGTGTTTTTTTCACCTGATTTACCTGAATTTTTCGAACTGAACGTTCTTTAAAACCATATTTTTTAAAAATTTGAAGTTTCTAGACCGTCGGAAATGGCATTTTTAGAGTCTTTCCTACCCAATATTTTAGTATTGCCTAACAATGAAGATAAGTATTGCTACTTTCAGTTTATAATGGGAAATTGAGAAAATTTTGGAAATTTGGAGTCTCCAGATCGTCAGAAAGGGTATTTCGCAATTGTCTCCCTGCCACAACACGTCTCAACGTCTTTAGTTTGTTTGATTGTTAACTCCAATTCAGATTAGAGAGTTCACTTTTTTATGCCCTGAGAATTACCTGAATTTACCTGAAAATCTACAGGATATCTACCTGAAATTGTTCATGAGCAATATTAGGGGTGTTGCACCCTCCCTCCCCCCTCCCCCGGTCGCTAGGGCCCTGAGAACTTAGAAAATCTGTAGATTTCAGAAGAAACAGCATATGTACATTTACAACATAGAGAACATACGAATATATGTAATTATGTGCATATAATGTTGCTACTTTCAAGTTTAAATCTCATTTGCGTGGCGTGGTTATTCTCCGTTAAAACGTTTTTAGTCCAGGATAAAATGTTTTGGAAATTCCTTAAAAAAATCCTCAAAAACCTAAATTCCTTAAAAAAATCCTTAAAACTCTTCAAAATTCCTATTTTTAAGGATAATTCCTTAAAAGTGAGAGCACTGCTCAGGGGTCCAGTGTTCACTCTACAACGTATTTTTGCTACTTGTCCTCGAGGTATAACAGTGTCCTTTTTGGGAGTTTTCACAAGGCATAGTTCGCCATGATTTATCTCTTTCACCAAGTCCAGCAACGTCACTGCGTTGTGGGTGTTGATCCCGACAAAACTGGTTAGAATATCGTTCTCCTGAAGTGTTCCCGAGTTGATCATGTGTTCTATAACATTAAAACCTACTAAAGGTAGTTCTAAGTTTTCTCGGGTTACCAAAAAGGGTACAGAAACTTCATTTGCAGAATCTTGGACTTGAAACTTTAATTCAACCCATCCCACGTATGGTATCTTACTACCATTAGCTGCTGTCAGTGTTAGACCACATTCTAGCAGTTCACTAACATCTCGAATCGGAATGTTTGGAAAGGTTTTGCTAACAAAATTTTCGGAAACGATTGATACCTGGGCACCCATGTCCCATAAAACGTCTGACGTTTTACCGTTAAGTTTCCCTCTAACTGAACACTTTCTACCGACTAAATTAATTAATTTCCCATGCTCTTTTGGTGTCAAATGGCTGATATAAATGTGCGAGTCATCGTGTTGCATTCTTTCATTTTCCCTATGACTGCACTTTTCGTTTTGAATAGCGTCACACAATGTCTTGTGTGCAGTCCAATTTGTTCTTTGACATTCACGGTTACAATAATATATAAGTTTACACTAGTTTTTACATCGAAAAATAGTTTGTCCTAGGTATTTGCTACAGTTATTGCATTGACGGGACAACTTACTATCTCCGGCTACTCTCTGTCCCGACCGCGGGATAGCCGTCTCTCGTTTCCCGAATTCTCCGCCATGTTTTTGTTGCATTCGGATGCAATGTGGCCATATTTTCCACACGCGAAACAGTGTGAGGACGTTGCGCCGAGTCTCTTCTCTTTGCACGCTTGACACCCCCTACCACGGTATCGTGGTGACTTGGTACGACTTTGGTCTGGTAATACTCGACTACCTCCTGCTTTGAGTTGGTGCTGTTTCAAGTTTTCGAGCTCATATCGTATTTCGCGAATTTCAGCGAGTATTTGTTTGTTTCCCTCCTTGAATTTCTGTTGTTTTGGCTCCGATTCTTCGACGTCACACGCGTTAATTCTGGCACGTCGCTCACAGGCAAGCTTATTTTGCCTTTCCGCTTGATGACAGGCAAGTTCATTTACGTGTTTCATTAAATCCTCGTCTGTCAGTTCGGGTAAACGCAGCAGTGGCCGTAAATTAGCAGCAAGAATATCATCGCGTAGTCCGGTCTCAAAAGACTTCATGAAGGTCTTTTGGATAAGCGGTTAATCGTAATGAACTTCGCACTCTGATTCCTTGCTAGCGAAACCGACTTTGTTCCGCAAATCGAACGCGTGAAGGAGAAACTGTTGTGCAGTTTCTTTTGGTTGCTGAAAGATGGTTTCAAGCTGTTGGTAAAGTTTCGACGCGAACCTTTTCCGGTAGTGCACGCGAAGAATCTTGCGGAGTTTAGGCAGGAATAAATCATGCAATGTTTCCACGTAGCTTCTCAAACTGCTATGTAATGAAATAGCCCGAATAACAGCGTCTACGATGTCGTTTTCTTTATATTGTCGCTTAAGACCAGAGTCAATTTGGTGAGTGAGTGAGACGAACGTAAGTTTGTCAGTTTGACCCGGTTCGCCAATTTGACCCACGATTTTAAACTCGCGCCGCCACAGTGGTGCACTTGACAGTTGTAGCCGCTACTTCTACTTTAGGGCCCTCACACTCGTTACTATCGTTATCTGCAGTCGCTTTTACAGACTGACTACCGTGTATCTGCGCTTTTGCGCTAGCTAGTTTCGATAACATGTTATCCATTTCCTCTTGTTGTTTCAATTTGAGAGCTTCAATTTGTTCTTGCATTACAAGAATTGCGGTTTCCGAGTCGTCTTTCGTTGGTTGTGTAGATCTTAAACTGTTGATTGCATGCTTAAACCAGGAAACTTTCTCGCTAATTTCACCTTCCGTACGTGTTAACCATCTCGTCGAGACATTTTTGAATTATTTTTAAAGCAGCGATTTTACTCTTTCCTTCTATGGTTGTTTTTAGCTTCTCTGAGCTCACAAAGCCCTGTAATTCGGTTGCTGTTTTTGTATAAAGTAAAGACTCAAGTTCAAATTGAAGCGTCTCAATCTCTTCCATGTTTCGTATATATTTTTCGGGTTTTCTGGCGAGATTATATACGTCGCAACAATGTCATTTAATACTTTAATACTTCGTTATGCGATCGACACTCAAATGTTCATTGAGCGCAGTTCATATATATTCTCGATAACACCTCGACCAAATAAACTCATTAAAACGATCTCACCTCTTTATCGACGGTCCCTTATCTCCTCTTTGTAAGACAGCCAATTCCGTGCGTGCCAGCCTTGGTCAATTCTCGCAACAATATTTCATATTTTATACGGCAGTCCTGGCGGGGTCGCCAAAATGTTACCTCGTTCCCACAGGTTCTTTTGTGCCAGGAGAATAATTACACCATAACAGAGAATCCCAAGACTTTACTTTATTGTTCCGTGTATAGACACTACATTTTCCAACTAAATCTGACTTCGTATATCACTTACATTGATTCACAACTGTTGTGCTTCGCTATTATATCTCAAAAGTCTCATGCAATAATATCAATGTTTCTTTGTTATATTTACGCGGCAATACGATACTAATATAAATAATAACACATCTGGGGCCGGTTGTATAAAACTCTTAATCACTTTTTTAATCACTATTTTGTAGTTAAATTATAGTGATTAACTTTCGAATAGGCGCTTCTTATTGGATGACATTTCCACTTAACTATGATTAACTTTAATCACTGTTTTTATACAACCGGCCCCAGGAATGCATTACAGTTATACCACACTACTGGTGATCTATCGTCTGACGAATCAAGTCAAGTCAATTTATTTTAGCCACTAAAAAAAAATGTTTACAATATCAAAGAGAAAAAAAATTACATTTTGTAAGGCAAGGAAACCCAAAAGAAACCATAAGGGCTTATGTAATTTGGGCCACCTAGATCAAACTACAGTAATACATATATAGCAAAATTTTAGTGTTAGCTGTAAAAACATATCGAGCAAGATACAATGTGTAAATCAAACAAACAAACGAACAAACAAAATTTGGATGAAAAGGAAAAATAGACCAAAAAATTGGGATCAGGTTTTTGACAAAGCATAGATAGAAACTATGTTACATTGATTGTGTGTTTAAATAATACAAAATTAAAGTCTAAATAAATATTCTTTAAGTTTTTTCCGAAAACCGGAGACGGATGAAGCATCATATATATTTTTGGGGAGGGAGTTAAAAAATTTAGGACCTTGGTAAATAATAGCAAATTTTCTCAGGTTAGTTCTACAAAATGGGAGGAAATACAAATTCGATTGTCGCGTATTATAATTGTGAACTTGGTTAACACATGTGAAATACTCATCAAAATTAGACGGTAACATACAATTATGGAACTGATACATAAACAAGCCTAAATGAAACAAATAAATGTTGTTAAATGGAAGAATCTCAAGCTCGTTAAAAATGGGATATGTGTGTGCATCATATGAGGTTTTATAAACAATTCTGATCATACGCTTTTGCAAAAGAGCAATACGATTTAAGTTTGAAGGGTAAGTTGAACCCCAAACTAGGATACAATATTGCATGTATGGGTAAACGAGAACGTAGTACAATGATATTAAAGATCGTGTCGGAAGACAAAAACTAGCTTTCTTGATAATTTCAATGGATTTCGACATTTTTCTTGATATACATGGGATATATGGGACTTCCACGTTAAATTTGCGTCTAAAATAACTCCAAGAAAACTAACTTCATCAACCATATCAATCTCAAAGCTATTTAAGACTATTTTAGGATTGATATGAAACTTTTTTTGTCTTGGTCTAAAAATCATAAAATTGGTTTTCTTCAAATTAATTGATAGTTTATTTGCTGATAGCCACACGGTCAGCTTGTCCAGTTCTCCATTTACTTGATCAATAAGGAACGGCAAATTGTTATGCGAGAAAAACAGGTTTGTGTCATCAGCGAATAAGATAAGGTCAGCAATGTTGGAGACCTTATTAATGTCATTAATATAAAGCAAAAAGAAAGTGGAGCTAGTATTGAACCTTGGGGTACACCACAATAAATAGAGTTTTTTTTCGAGTACACCCCATTGAACTGAACAAATTGGAGTCTATTACTAAAGTAACTTTTAAACCAATCAAGTGCTACTCCACGAATTCCATAATGCTGTAGTTTATCAAACAAGATACTATGGTTAACGGTGTCGAAGGCTTTGGATAGATCTAAGAAGATGCCAATTGTAAATTTATTGAGGTCAATAGCGGATGAAATTTTATTGTATAGTTGCAACAAGGCTAAAGAAGTTGAATGACCGCTTCGAAAACCAAACTGATTGTCAACGAGAATATGGAGCCTGTCCAAGTAGTTAATTAAACGAATAGAAACAATTTTTTCAAAGACTTTCGAGAAAATTGGCAGGATTGATATTGGTCGGTAATTTGAAAATATTTGTCGATCACCAGTTTTAAAAATTGGAACAATTCGAGCGATTTTCAGTTGATCAGGAAAAAAGCCGGATGACATCGACAAGTTGACAAGGTGAGGTTAAAGGAATGGATATTAAGTCTATGCAGTCTTTAATAGTGTTGATAGGTAAATTATCATATCCAGTGGCAACACCATTTCTGAAAGATTTGACTACGGCAGTTATCTCTTGTTCTGTAGTCGGCTTGAAGAACATAGTATTTGTGAAATTACCAGTGAGAAAAGAAGTGTACGACACCGGTACAATAGGTAACTTTTTGGATAAATTGGGGCCTATATTGGAGAAATAATCGCAGAAATGATCAGCAATTGTGGGAGAGTCAGAGCAGTCGTTATCATTGATTACAAATGTGGATGGAAGCCTGCTATTCCGTCGTTTGTTTTTGTTGATTACTTCATTCAAGATGCTCCAGGTTTTTTTACAGTTAGACTTATTATGCTCAATTAGATCCTCGTAGTAATGGCGTTTCGCGATGCGTAATAAATGATTTAATTTGTTCTTAAATCTTTTGTATCTATCCGTGTTGTCAGCAGTTGGAGAGTTTAAATAACGCTTGTACAACTGGTTCTTTTTTCTTATTGATTTTAAAAGGCCGTTGGAAAGCCAAGGTTTGAAAACTGTTGACCTTTTATTTTTTATCTTTTTGAGCGGAAAACAGGAATTGTAAAGATTAGTAAAAATATTCAAGAAACTGGAGTAGGCCTTTTTTGGCTCATGAATATTTTCGAGATCATACCAATTAATGTCGTGTAAAGGATTGCGGAATTCGTTTCTATATTTTTCGCTTTTGTCACGAAAAACAGTATATGAAGCTTCATCAGTCAGTGGTTCGTTATCATTGGAAATAAGAAAGATAGGTAAGTGATCGGATATGTCAGATAAGATTAAACCACTAAAAACATATTGATCAATATCGTTAGAAAATATATTGTCAATAAGCGTAGCGGAGTGTGAGGTTATTCTGGTGGGAAGCGTTATGGCAGGAAAAAACATATTAGCATACATTATGTCAAGAAACTCATTTGTGAACTGGTGAAAACTTTGATTTAATAAATCTAAGTTAAAGTCACCCATGATATAACTTTTTTTGTTATCTCTGGAGACTTTATCGATCAGTATATTTAGCCCGTTAATAAAATTAGCAACACTTTGGTGGGGCGGTCTATATATCACTCCCACAACATAATTCTTACCCTTGGGATTTGCAATCTCAATGAATAACGATTCAGCAATTTCGGTATTTTCAAAGCACAAAGCATAACGAATTTTGTAATCAAGTGTAGATGCGATATACATCCCAACCCCACCTCCGGTTCTGTTGGAACGATAGTTGTGTTCAAAGTTATACCCATTAATGTCAACCTGGTGGAGTGAATTCTGAAGCCAGGTTTCGGAAATTCCAATGACCGAAAACGGATTATTTATTCTTGCGAGAAAGTTCTGCAGACTATTTAGATTACAGTTTAAACTACGAATATTCAAATGCATGAAAGATAAGTGGTTAGTATTTTGAGATGAGTTGAGCAGTAAGTTATTTAAACTACATTCATCAAAAAAATCGCAATTAAATTTTTCATCACGAAAGTTGGAGTCCGGATCTAAGTTAGAAGATAGAGTTAAATTCTTGTGAAAATTACGATGCAAGGGGTTTAGTTTTAAACTCAATAACCTTTCGTCATCAAAATTCACTCGACCATGTTGCATTTGATACATTTCTAATTCAAAGCCATCATCGTCAAGAGTGTAAAAGGGAAAAACACTATTAGGACAATCGAAAGATATCAAAGATAATAAGGTTATAAATAACACTTAGCTGGGCCAGAGCATGTTGATTGCGTTCGTTCATGAGATGGGACTGCGTTGATCACGCTGACAATGGAAACCACGTTCAAAGTCTTTAAATTCCTGCATTGATTTAAATACATTGGATCTTGAGGTTTGACTATCATTCTTCTTGAGATGTACATGACCATTTTTAGTCCAGATGAATTTAAAGTTATGCTCATTTCGAAATTTCTTTGCTTCAGTGAATATAGCACGACTTTTAGCAGTTAAGCTCTCGTTAATATAAATGTTATTGTTAGTTTCGTAGCCAAGATTTTCAGTTGATTTGGAGCGTAGGTTTTTCCGGTTTCTATAAATCACATCACGTACATCACGTTCAACAAATTTAGCAATTATAGGTGGTATATTTCCGCTTCTGGTGGGTAGGCGATGGCTTATTGACAGCATTGCTTCGCTAAAATCACGATCCGGAACGGCCAATTTAGCAACTTCGACTACAATGGCATTGGTAATTTCTCCTTCGATAAGTGGTATGCCATGAATCTCAAGCGTGTCTCGGCGAGAATATTGACGAAGACTTTCAGTTGCCGCTTCAGATTCAGCACATTGCTTCTCCAAATCGTTAACGCGTGTTTGTAGGAGCTCGTTGTCCTTTCGTAATTGGCAGTTCACCGCCTTGACTTCGTTTAATGTGACGACCAATTCATCAAATTTTGAACTGAGAAATGCTTGACTTGTCTTAATTTCGCTTAAATCTGCTTTAGTTGACTTAGAATGATTTGTAAATAGATCATTCATATGATCTGTTTGCTGTTTTAATCGGCGATCGATCATCTTTTCCAGGCTGTGTTGTAAAGCAGCCATGCTAAAATTTTCATCGAGAATGGGATCCGTTTGTTCGTCGGTCATGTCGGCGACGACTTCTTGATTGTTGTTTGAGTCCTTTGGCTTTACTTTATTCTTCTTTGGCGGCATAATGTATAGCAAATAATTACATACAATATATCTAGTTCAACATAAATTGTATACGGAGCAAAAAAAATACGTCTGCTCGCCTCGCCTGCTCGCGAGTCAATGCCAACGACGATGGTTTATCGATGGTTTATATCTGTTTTAAATGTGGTTATAAAATTTGTCAGGGTAATATATTAAAACAAAAACGGTTTATGCATAAGGATTGGACTCAAATGACCCAATTTATAGACAAGTGGGTTAGATTCTGCTGTATACTATGACGTTAGGCCACATAAAATAAATTCCTTGATTCTCATCACTACATTTTGAAAATGTCGAAGAGGCGGGAGGTTTATATTTTATATTTATATAATTTATATATCAAGAAATAAAAAAATAATTCCTAACATTTAATATTTCTGTGATTTCCAAAGTGAAGTGTCACAAACCGAAATAAACATATTTCTCCACGAATAATGACTGAACCCTTGAACTGAATGCGAAGTTCCTTTAAAATGCAATGAAATTTCTTTCAAGGTTCTATTTGTTTGAAATTGGCAGTTTAAAATGGCACTAAAAACCCAATATAAAATATAAAAAACTTAACTGTCTTGAAATATTTTGTCGGGCGGCACATTTATATTGTATAACAAAATATAAAACATTTTCACGCGGCTCTTAAAATACAGTCGGGTGGTGATGAGAATCAAGGAATTTATTAATATGTGGCCTTATATGTGTTGTACTTTATAGTATTTGTTGCACCAATGGAATTTGAATTATATTACCTACAGTATATCAATATGATATTTTTATATTGAAATAGAATTCTATAAAGGTCACTATAAAGTTTGAAAAAACTTATCTATTAAATTTGTAGATGACTATGTGAAAGCAAAGTTGAAATCATTGAGAAACAGCTACACCAAAGCAAAAAATAGGTACGCAGCGGGTACATGTTACATGCCAATGAATCTTATAACGATGCAAGTTCAAAATCTTTATTTCAATTACACTACTGTCATTTATCGCAATGAGCATTGAAATTTTTGGGGTTTCAAATTTCTCTAGGTGGGGCGGGAAAACGTTTGGGGGGTGCACAGGTTTTTCTGGGTTTTTTGTTTTGGGGGGGTGCGTACTCCTCCGCACCCCTCCATCCGTCTGTGTTATAAGCAAATATTTGCCTAAATCTAGGCTTGCAGATACAGTACAACTTTCTGACACGAGACATGTATAGAAAGTTTTAATTCATTAGTAATCTAATGGAACGATATATAACGTTTGATAATGATAATCAACAAAAATAGTACAATACTAAATAAGATTTATTTTGGATGATGGGTACTCTATATGCAAAACTGAAATTAGAGTATGGATTACAGTCAATTTTTCAATATATAAAATAAGTCTATAAGTCTGTTATACGAACAATGGACTTGATATGCATCATAATCAACATCTTGAAACTTAAACAGGGTAGAACATTCACTGTAATACGCAATGATAGTGTTCTATTGTCATAGAAAAGTGACTGATCTTTTAGTTTTCACTAGCTGAATGTTCGTTATTTATAATTCCCGTTGTTACTGACCATTTTGGGCTCGATTCTGACTATTTGAACAGGTGCAATGTACCATACAACAAAGCACTTCTTCAAGTACTGTGCATCTTTCTTAATTATCAAGTTTTAGCTTTTCTTTGTACTGTATGTGCGACTTCGTTGAGCGGCTTTTCGCTTTAATTAACATGTTTTGGTATCAGAGCCAGGTGGAATGTGCCTTACAACAAATATCCAAGTTGTATCTTGAAGTACTGTGCATCTTTCTTAATTTTCATGTTTTCCACAATGAATTTTCAGAATACATAACGAACACAACTGCAGACGTTTTCTTTGTACGTGCGATTTCGTTGAAGCAATTGGTAGCTGAAATGAATTGTTTCATTTTCGCATATTAATTGACATAAGATGATATCATTCAATATAATTTATCCACCAATGTTGTCAGTATTCTTGTATAGTACATCTTTGGTATATCTGTAAATATTAATGCAACAGTATTAGTGAATGCAATTAACGTAACGTGGATAAGCCATACAGTCGGAGCTTTGTTGGTGATATGACTAGATGTGGTAATAAGACGTAGCAACATACCAAGTATCTATTTTGTGTACTTTTGTTGACTGAAGTTATCATTAAAGTGACCATGATTAATGTATAGAGATATCTAAAAAAGAAAAAACCCAATTAAACACAAAAATACATGGAAGGGAGAGGGGGGAAGAGATAAAAAGAAAACTTACCTAAATGTAGCCATCGTCCACACAATGACTTAATTTTATAACATTGGCAGTGGCACAGCGGCTTGCGTTAATAACACTGGAAGTGGCGCAATTGCTTGCCTTAATAACATTGGCAGTGGCGGAATGGGTTGCCTTAATAACATTCGCATGCAGTGGCACAATGGCTTGCTATCTTTGCAATACCTAATTGAATGGTATATAATTATTATTTCTATGTCCTAAGTTAAGCCCATATTGCTTTATGATCACTAAAGTAAGTTTCTAGAATACCAGCTTCAATTTCCTCTTCAATTAAA